AGTGCCCTGCTTGCTGTGTAAAGATCAGAGGGTCTTTTCTTAGTAAATTATTCCATTCTGTGCTGAACTCATGAATAATGAAGGATCCGCATTCCCCTCTCCCCCTCCATCCTCCCCAGTGGAAAATGATGATGATCTCACAGGGCGGTGGAGGATGCCTAACATGGGCAGATGTTTGTCATTCTGATTCGTTCATTCATTCACTCAGTGAGTATTTGCTGTGTGCCTAGTCCTGTGCTGGACATCTTGGGGGTGCAAAGAAGAGTAAGACACTCATCTTGACCTAGACCTTAACTTTGGCCTGGAATACAGGTTTACAATCTAGCTGGGAAAGTGAAATGCTAAAAGAGCCCAGCATGAGAGACGCAGCAGTGAGGCAGCTTCCTGCCTCGATGGGTCAAGAAGGGCATCCTGGCACAGAATCATCCATTTAAGCTAGAAGGGACCTTGGAGATCGTCTGGCCCAACCATTTTGTTGTATATATGAGGAAACTGAGGCCAGGCAGGTTGACTACTTGCCCAGTGTCACAAGAAGGAATGAATGGAAAAGAGTGTATATGAAGTGCTAACTGTGTGCCACAGGCCATGTTAGGAGCTGGGGATGGACCACGAGGGGCAAGGCAGGGAGTTTTGTTTAAGAACGTGGAAGGTTGGAGCCGGAGGGCAGGGATTACCTGGGTGGATGGCTCAGTGAGGTATAAAGCTGAAGCATAGCCTGGTATCTAGGGGCCAGCTAGTAGGGAAGAGCAGGCTGAGGAAGCCACTGTGTACTCAGTCACTCAGGTTGAGTATCTTGAGAGCAGAAGCTATCTCTTGCCTTTCGTTCTATCCTCTGCTTAATGTAACGCCTGACATGTAGTCATTTCATAAATGCTCATTGATGACTTGGTCACTAGTCCTTGGGTTTGGAGCCTGGGATGGGAACTCTCAAAATAAGTGGATTAATTCAGGGACTTAAGGCATGGATTTTGGCATACCCCAGTGTGGATTTCTCATGTCCTGGCCCAGGTGGGGAGGAACGGGTCAGCAGTGGTCAGCAGATGGTAAGATGGCCTGGCAAACTGAAGACAGGAGGAGCAGAGCTGGGGTTGGACCAAGTCATTCTTGGTCTCCAGATCCACTAAACTGCCTTTCAGTAGATGAGACTTGAGTTGGACCATGAGTAATGACTAAAAATGACCAACATTCGTGTCCAGGAAGAACCCAATATGTTAGAAGAAAGTGCTCGTGAGGCTGAATCATAGCTTTGAATTCCTGTGTGAACTAGTTACTTATATACAAGGACAAAAATCCCACACTATTGGCTGGCCACAGACTCTTACCTTCAGCAGTCACAAAGTGCTGGGGTAATAATCAACAAACATGTCATGAAGCTCCTGCTGTGTCCCAGGCAACATCCACATCCACAAACACATTGATAGACCAGTGAAGTACAGGGCCACCTGAGGAAGGAAGAATAGCAGGGAAACCTTCAAGGTGGCGCTTGGACTGAATCCGTAAAAGGTCCCTTCCGTGGAAGAGGGGAAAGCTCCCACCAGCCTTTCTCATTCTTGGAGGCATAGTAGCTCAAGGGTACATGTCTTATCAGTGCTAGGTTGAAGATGTCATCTTGTGTACAAAGAATAATAAATCATTCCTACTTCCTGGGGTACTGAGCTAAAAAATGTGTTGGAGAGAGAGAGAGATGGAATGTATTCACAAGCTAATCTGCATTTCTCCAGGGTCAGAGAGTCAGGGATAATGCGAGAGAACAGCGTGTTTGAATGGCCTACAGGATAAGCACGTGCTCCAGCAGGCCAGGGATGTGGTTCACTTGAGAAATTCCTCTCTTGGGTCACTCATGCTAATGGAATTTCAGCAGCGAGGCCCCAGCCTGCCTACAGAAAAGTAGCTTCTGACATGGGCTCGGCTTGCAGTGATCCCTGTACCTGGCACATTGCTCAGCTGCCTTCGTCCGGTCTGGGCCCTTCATGCTGTGGCCGAGCCAGTGTCCTGGCGCTGCACTGACCAGCCGGGAGATCAGGCCTGGGACGAGTCATGTTGAGTCAGGCCCTCTCTGAACCAACTAGCGTGGGAGCTCAGAATGGCAGAATGGAAAAAGCAGAGTGGAGGAGAGGGGTCCCAGCGAGCCATGGGAAGGGAATGGCTTGCCAGGGTCACAGGAGGAATGCTGTGAGGCCAGCCGGCCGAATCCAGGAAATAGTCCCTGGGGGAGATAGCCCAGCCCTTAGTCACCAAGCTGAGGACACCAGCTGCAGGAAGCAGACTCTAATCCCCGTTGCCCCAGCGGTTTTTGAGGAGCTGAGGGGAAACGTTAATAAGCTTCTTTGACCCTCTCAAGTTTTCCAGCAGCAGGTCCCCCTTTCACTCTTTCCCTCCGACTGGACCCAGGCCTATTTCTCATCACTTCCCCTCACACTGAGCTCCGTCCTCCCCTTAAATTCTGCCTGCCCTTTAGAAATTAGCACTGACCCTTAGGTGGCCCTCTCTGGAGACCTTTCTGATGTGCTGAGAATGCGTTATTTGGAGCTCCAGTTACTTGTCTGCCTCCTCCTAGACCATAAGTTCCATGAGAGCAAGGGTTTGTCTTGTCCTAACTTCCTCATCCAGCTATCCCCAGATTCCCAGCAGGGGCTCTGCACACAGTAAACCTTTAGAACTATTAGCTTCTTAATTGAATTCATGAAACCCTTCTCAACTGCCCTGTGAAACAATTATAGTCTATATTGTATTATGATAAGAGGCAGGATGGTGTGATAGGTAATTAGCCTTTGAATCTAGAAGACCTGGGTTCAAGTGCTGCCTCAGAGGCAGCTAGGTGATGCTGTCATGTCCGGGCGTGGCTTCAGGAAGAATCAAGTTCAAATCTGGCCCCATAAACTTAATGTCTGTGTACCCCTCCATTTCCCCTCCTCTCTTCCCCATGGCGCCCCCTCCAACAAAACACAGGTTGAGAGGTGAAAGCTTTTGAAATAAAAGAGCAGGAATATCAAGGGTCAGGTTTCCAACAGTCTGACATTTTCCCCTTTGGAAGAAGAGGGGCAGCCATTGCCACAGGTTTTAGTCCAAAGAGGGCAGGTAAGATAAGACAGGCAACACCACTGACCTCTTTAAAGGGGAATGAAAAAGTCACAGAACAACAGGGGAGATGGGTTCTAAGGAAACAAGAACCCACACGTGGGGCACTGGCTTTCTGGCATGTTACCAGCTGGCCTTTTGCTGAAGTATTGGGAACAATACAGCAATAACACAGTATTGAAAATACGATGGGCATAGTGAGCAGGGTACTATGCTATAAACTCTGAAGGAGATTCAGAATTTAGATAAGGCACTTACATTCTATTGGAAGAAAAAGACATTAACACGAATAACCATGATACACAAGATGCACATTAGAGAGTTAGAAAACGTGTTACTTGAGGTTGGAGGGTTGGTCATTACCTGCCAGAGGGAGCATGGAAAGCTTCCTTAATTAAGGCATGGAAATTGGTTGAACGTTAAAGGGTGGGCAGGTTCAACCAAGGGGGAAGGAGAGAACTTGAGAAGTACAGTGCTGTTCATGGGGCAGACGAGGCTGGCCACAGCGTCAAATTCATGGAAGCCTCCAGAAATGGGGTTGCAGAGGCCACCAGCTCAGGGAAGGGCCTACGTGTCAAAGCAGAAGAATTTGGATGTTAGTCTATAGATAACAAGGAACCCTTGGAAAATGTTAAGCTGAGTATTAACATGACCAGATCTGTGTGTAAGTAAAATCATCCTGACAGCGATCTAAAGAATAATAACAAAGAACCAATAATCATTTATTAAGTACCAGCTACATGGCAGGCTCTGTTCTACACACTGAGAATTCAAATGATAATCCTTGCCCTCAAAGAGCTTACATTCTAAAGGGAGGAGACAAGTACATATATTACAGCAGAAGTACAAAGTAGTTAAATACAACATAGCTCGGAAGGAAGTACGCTAGCAGCTGGAATCAGAGAGGGCTCTTATAAGAAGGTGGTTCTTGCAGAAGAATTTATGACCAAACAAGATAGAGAACATTATGAAATGCAAATTGAATAATTTTGATTACAAAGCCAATGCAACCAAGACTAGAAGGGAAGTATAAAGCCAGGAAACAATTTTTATAGCCGGTGTCTCTGATGAAGGCCTCATTTCTAAAATACAGAGAGAACTGAGTCCAGTTTATAAAGCTTACAAGTCATTCCCCAGTTGATAAATGATCAAAGTATGTGAACAGGCAGTTTTCAGATGAAGAAATTAAAGTTTTCTGTACTCATATGGAAAAAATGCTCTAAATCACTATTGATTAGAGAAATACAAATTAACACAACTCTGAGGTATCACATCACACCTATCAGATTGGCTAATATGACAAAACAGGAAAAATGATAAATGTTGGAGAAGATGTGAAAATTGAACAAATGCACTGTTGTGAGTTGCAACTATCCCCATTCTGCAGAGCAATTGGAACTATGCCCAAAGGGCTATAAAACTGTGCATAACCTTTGTTTGATCCAGCATTAGCACTTCTCAGTTTATATCCCAAAGAGATCATAAAAAAGGGAAAAGGAACCGCATGTACAAAAATACTTATAGCAACTCTTTTTGTGGTGGCAAAGAATTGGAAATTGAGGGAATTCCTACCAGTTGGGGAACGGCTGAGCAACCTGTGTTACATGAATGTAATGGATTATATAAGTTCCATAAGAAATGATGAGCAGGAGGATATCAGAAAAACCTGGAAAGACTTACATGAACTGATGCTGAGTGAAGTGAGCAGAACTAAGAGAATGTCATATGTAAAACAACAATATTGTGCGAGGACTAACTTTGATAGACCTAGGGCTTCTCAGCAATGCAATGATCCAAGACAATTCCAGCGGAAATGGAAAATGCTATCTATATCTAGAAAGGTATTGGGGGAGGGGGGTTGGTTCTGATGGCTTGTTTGGGACGGTCTGGAAGCTCCATGTAGGTTCTCTTTCTCTCTACAGCGTGATGTTCACCAAGGCAAAGCTAGAACGTGTCTATAAAGGCCCGGACGAGGCTCTCGTGACCTGCAGAAACATGCTGCATGTGTGCAGTCTTTGCACAGTATCTCTCTGCCCGGGTAGTCTGGGGGGCTGGTGGGAGGGGACAGCACGGGGTGATGGGGTCAGTTCACTGTGTACTGCAGCACTTGGTGTATACTGAGGAGATGCAGAGATTGGGAAGATGAGGCCGGCTGCCTTCAGTCTAGCAGGGAAGGGGAGAAGGGGTTGCCTCTGGTGGTTACTGTGGCAGGGATTCCTGTTCGGGAAAAGGCTGCGGTAGATGACCCCTCAGTTCCTTCTGAGGTTCCACGAAAATAATGATGACATGAAACCAGGCTGACACAGCAGGGCACAGATAAAAAAGACCGATCTCTGGCTGGGGGAAGAGAGAACTGAAGAAGAGCTCACGGAAGGAAGAGCATTCGAGCTAGGCCTTGAAACAGAGGTTAGGAGTTCCACAGAGAGAGTTTAGGGAGGACATACCAGGTATAGGTCCTCGTGTGAGTACAGGCATGGAAGTAGGAAAACATGAAGAAATGTGGGGAATAATGAAGAGTCTAGTCCTTGACTAACTTCAGATCCATGTGCTTGTTTTTAAAAAATATTTTGGTTAACTGCATTTCAATATAATTGGTTTCCTAGATAATCCTATGAATTATATTTTAAGCATTTGAAAACATTCTTCTGAGAAAGGGGTCCATAGGTTTTTCACCAGCCTACCAGTGGAGGTTCATGACACAGCAAAAGTTAAGAGCCCCCGGCCTAGGAACAGGAACTGGAAAAGCAAGAGGCAGCTGGAAGGATGAGTTAGAACCGTATTGTGCTTAAATATTCCGCTCAGGAGGTTTCATTTTATCCAGAAGGGAGTGAGGAGCTGTTGAGGGTTTTTAAGAGTAGGGTGATGTAATTAGAGTTGTACATTAGGAAGATTAATCTGTCAGCAGAGAGGCGTGCATGCCATTTAGGAAGCAAATGGCAGTAGTTGAAGGGAGGGATAGTGGAGGCCTGATGAGAGTGATCGCAAGAAGGGACAGATGGGTACAATATTGTGGAAGTAGAATTGACAGGACTTTTTAACTGATTGAGTGTGGGGTGGGGGCAATAGGAAGAGGAAAGAGAGGACTATGTCCAGCGTGTTTACAGCATCGGGGACTGGGAGAATGGTGGCCCCCTAGCAGAAAAGAAGTCAGAAAAGGAAAGGGGCAAGTTTGATGGTGAAGATAAAGAGTCTGCTTTAGGACACATTGAGTTTAAAATGCCCGCAGAACATCCTAGTGGAGATGTCCAGTAGAAGGGTGTGTGTGGGGTGTGTGTGTGTGTGTGTGCACGTGTGTGCGCCAAGTTCCTGGCAGAGCTGGGTCTGAGGCCTGTTGTCTCTTAAGCCCCTTTCCTCTTGGCCATGTGGCCCATGGTGGTAGCAGGACTCTGCCTGGCAGTGCTATTTCTGACCTCTGTGAAAGGTTCCCCATTTCACTCCCACCCCCTCTTTTCCAGGGGCTCTGAAAAGGATGGCAGTCTCACTGAGGTGCCAATGCTGAAGAAGCAAGGTGGAATGCATTTGACCCTGCCTGATAACTATGAGGAGGAGTCAGGTAAGAAAAACACTGAGATGACGGCATCTAGGGTTAGGGCACAGAGAAAGGGGGAAGGATGTGAATTGGGGAGGGAAAAGAAAGAGCATCAATAAAGTACTTTAAAGTTCACAGAAGAAAAAAAAAGTTGTGTGGGGATACACAAGTATCTTATTAAACTTAATATATGTTTTAAAAACATACTTATGTAAGAAGAATAAGTTTGTGGTTTCATGTATAATCTTTTTTCTTCATGTATTGGAATGTTTGTGTTTGTTGATGATTTTTAATTTCATAATGAAAAAGAAAAAAGTTTTAAAGAGCAAATGAAAAACATTGAGATTTATTGTGAGTGTGGCCGTCTTCTTGAGCTGCACTAAGGACTACCTTGGTAATTGCATTTGAACTAGGACATAGACTTAGGTAGTGTCATGGGCATTGTCCTGATCCTCCAGTTCAGGTCTCTTCCACTTAACCAGATTAGAGGTGGATCTCTCTGAGCACTGAAAGTTGAGATAATTATGTTCCCACACAATACCAGGAGCTTCAGTAGGTCTTTGGAGCCAGTTAAGTAGTGTTCTGACTTCTTCCAGATAGATAAGGCACAGTGACAGGGGTGAGGGGAATAAGAGCACATTGGTACCTGCGTCTCCTGGGAAACATGAGGGAAGAGCAAAGAGAAAATAGGGTGAACATGGCAAAGGTGTGTGTGTTAAGGCTCAAGGCTTGCAGGTGTCCAGTTCAGGGAGGAACAATTAGTAAGGTGATGGATTTTGCTTCTTTTTATATTTCTGTTCTCAGGGCCAACTTTACAAATAAAATAAGGCTATTCTTGGCTCTTTGGTATGAACAGCAAGTTGTACTGAATTCGTCAGGTACTTAGGTACTACAAAAGACATTTTCATTAATTGAGTATTTAAGGCAGACCTTTTTTTAAAAAAATCAGCAGGTTCCCATGGCAAGGAAAGTATAAGCAGGATATAATGAAGTTTATGGTTTTGGCTATTTGTTTTTCCACTTAATGAACATGTCAGAGTTCACATTTCGTGTGACTATAAAGTAATGAACCTGATTCTGCACCTTCCCTATCAAACTCAATACTTTTATATTCATTCTGTGTGTGTCTGTATGCACACGTTATGTCTAAATACCAGAACTGAAGCTTCTGTCTTTAATGAGGAACTAGCTTAGAAGAGTCATTAATTAAGCTTATATGTAGACTTCTGTTGTCAAGTAAGATCATCTGTTTGTTTGGACTGATGTCTCCTGAGTTACTAGGCAGAGAGACTGAGCTTGAATTTCAAATGTGTGTGTTTGTGTGTGTATTGTATGTTCCTCTGAGGTCTTACATTTCTTAGCAGGATCTCATCCTCCCTCAGTGCCATCACAGAATAGAAGCTCTCGTCAAAGAAAAGCTTAGTGTCTGATGAATGCTACTTCCGTAATTGTTCACAACAAACAACAAATGAACTCTAATGAATGGACTTGCTCAATTGCTTTGTAAACGTTGACCCAGGTTGGGTCTTGTCCCCTGAGCACACATGATGATGTAGAAAAAGCATTGGATGTGGAGTTAGAACACTTGAATTGTAACTGTTAGGCCTTTAAGATCAAATCCCTTAAGTTTCCTGGGTCTGAGCATCCTTACCAGCAAGCATTTTTGAAGGCATTAGATGGGATGACCTGTGAAGGTCCCTATAATTTCTAAATCATAAGGTTAGATTTAAACTCACTATATATGAGTATATATGTCTATGTGATGGATTTAGTACATCAGTCAGTCAAGAAGCATTTAAGACCCCAATATGTAGCAGGCCTTGTGCCAAAGGGCTGGAGATTCAGAGAAAGGCAAATGACCGTTCCTTCCCTCAAGGAACTGACATGCAAATGAGGGAAACAGCGTGTAAATAGTTAAGTAGATGAGGAATATCTGTACAGAGTAGATGAGAAATGGCCTAAGGGCACCAGAACTCCCACGTGAGGCTGGGGTTCACCCACTTTCCCAGCCTATGACCAGTTTCCTTCCTTGTGCCAGTAATTGTGTCTTCGTGGCTTATTCTCTCCCTTTCCCTTGCAGGCTCTCACGCTGCTTCCTCCATCGCAGCATCCCGACTGGAGGAGGCCATGTCTGAACTAACAATGCACAACTCAGCCATGAAGCAGGGACCCATGCAGATGTGGACCACCTTGGAAAGGATCTGGCTCCAGGCGGGTGAGTCCCCAGCCTTAGAGGCTGGGAGGTTGGGGAAGTGTCACCAGCCTGGCTCCATTCTGGCTACTTTGGGCTGTCAGCACCCCTATGCTCTCAAGATGGGTTTGGGTGGACTGCACGTTCCCTACCTGACTTGGAGGAAAGACCTGGTCAGAAGTCTTAAGTGGACTAAGTGATTCAAGTCTCAGAGCTCTGACTAATTTGCTGTGTGACCTTAGGCAAATCCCCTGCACTCTGAGTCTCTGTTTCTCACACCAAGTACAGATGATAATACCTGCCCTACCTACCTCACAGGCAGCTAAGTAGCACAGCGGACAAAGTGCCAGCCAGTGGACACAGCTGGAGTCAGGAACACTCATCTTCCTGAGTTCAAATCTGGCCTCAGACACTTACTAGCTGTGTGGCCCTGGGCAAGTCACTTAACCCTGTGTGCCTCAGTTTCCTCATCTGTAAAATAAGCTGGAGAAAGAAATAGCAAACCATTCCTGTATCTTTGCCAAGGAAACCCCAAATGGGGTCACAAAGAGTCAGATGCAGCTGAAATGACTGAACAGCAACACCCACCACCTGCCTCACAGGGGTGTAGTAAGTTAGTGAGATGAAGTAAGAATCCCTGTACAGAGAAGAGGCGCTTTAATATTGTGAACAGCCATCACAGCACCTCTGGTGGTCCAGTAGCATCTTAAGACCATACATAGAATGGGCATGATGGAGATGGAGTGAATTGTGAAACTCTCCCAGAGAGAAAATGATTGGTGATAGGCATAGTTAAGGAGGCATCATGGAAGGAGCATTGGACCTAAAGGAAAGGGACCTGGGCTCAAATCCTGGTTCTGCCACTTATTATATGTGTGTTATATATGTATACATGACCTTGGTACAGGTAGCTGGTGCAGTGGATAGAGCTCTGGACCTGGAATCAAGAATACCTGAGTTCAGATCCTGTCTTAGACACTTAATAGCTTTGTGATCCTGGGCAAGTCACTTAACCCTATTTGCCTCAGTTTCCTTGTCTGTAAAATGGGGATAATAACTCTGGACCTGGAATCAAGAAGACCTGAGTTCAGATCCTGTCTTAGACACTTAATAGCTTTGTGATCCTGGGCAAGTCACTTAACCCTATTTGCCTCAGTTTCCTTGTCTGTAAAATGGGGATAATAAAAGCACCTACATTCCAGGGTCGTTATGACGATCAAATGAAATAATAATTGTAAATCACTTAACACAGTGTCTGGCACATGGTAAGTGCTGTAGAAATGCTAGCTAGCTGTTATTAACTTGGTTAAGTCACTTTGGGTCACATTTTGCCTGTATGTAAAATCTGTAAAAATCTTTAGCCAGTGATGGCAGTGGCCAATCTAAGCACAGTCTTCACGGGTGTATTACTAGGATCAGAAAATCATAGCCTGTGACAGATAGTCAGCCCTGTTAGCAGTGATATCTCCAAGTGTTAACATGACAAGGGAAGGGAATAAGTGTTTTTTCAAGTACTTAGTGTGTGCCAGACATTGTGTTAATTGCTTTTTACAAATATTATCCTCCTTTTACAGTTGAGGAAACTAAGGTAGATCGAGGTTAAGTGACCTGCCCAGGGTCATGCGGCTAGTGTCTGGGATCAGATTTGAACCTGGGTCTTCTGAGTCCAGGCCTAGCTGCTGCCTCTATTAAGACGAGGAACGTTGGGAGGAGAGGAGGCGCAGGTATCAACAGACTTTTTTTTTTTAGGCAGTTGGGGTTAAGTGACTTGCCCAGAGTCACACAGCTAGTAAGTGTCACATGTTTGGTCTGAGGCCGGATTTGAACTCAGGTCCTCCTGACTTTGGGGCCGGCGCTCTATCCACTGCACCACCTAGCTGCCCCTATCAACAGGCGTTTTTAAGTGTTTGTTATCCCCTGCGTGATTCTGGGAGTACAGGGACAAAAATGGAAGGCTCCCTGCCCCCAAGGAGCTGACAGTCTAGAGGGGGAGGTGATATGTAGAACGTGCACACATATCTAAGTACATACTAGATAAATGCGTGGTAATTTAGGTGTGGGAGGCCCTAGTTATTGGGGCGGCGAGGGGAGGGAAGGGTGGGAAGAGGAAGTGCCAGCGTAGGAGGTGGCCCGAGCTGGGTTTGTTTTCAAGGAAACAAGATACTCCAAGAGGCAGACGTGAAGGAGTAAATAGGTTACTCCAGGCATGTTTGGCCGGAGAGGGAGCATTGTGTGTGAGGGACAGACAGAGGCAATTCACCTGGACTTGGAATGGGTAAAGGATAGTAATATGAAGATAAGAAGACTGTAAAGGTAGTTTGGAGTCATGTTGGGAATGGCTAAAAGTGCCAGACCTGAGGTGTTTGTTTTAGATTCTAGAGATGAAAGGGAGCCAGTGAAGTTTCTTGAGCAGGGGAGTAGCATGTTCAGACTTGTGCTTTAGGAATGTGGCTTTCGCAGCTGAGTCGTGGCTCGATGGCCCGTTGAAATAGGATTGAACAGCTCACAGACTGAAGATCTGTATCTATTGACACATCTGTTTCCAAGCCTGACCGTAGGAATGCTGTGGCCTGGGTCCCACCAATTAGTAACTGGAAGTACATTTGAACCTTCCACAAGTAGGCTTGACCTTGACGAGCCTTGTTCTTCTCGGGAAGAAACTAGACCCTTTCATATGCCAGGATTTCTGATGAAGCCAGACTTGCCGTCAGACCCACGGTTGATGGATTTGTTCAGCGTTCTCCCTTCTGTAGCCAAAGACGAGTATCAGGAGATTGCTCACCAGCAGCACAGCGTCCATCGCCATCCCTTGAGAGTCTGGAATGAGTCTTCAGAGTGGAGCTGACTGGGGGCTAGCCCACCTGTGCCAGGCTCCGTCCTCCCCAGGGTAGCTTTCTGCTCTGGGAGTCTGAGAGCATTGCGTAGCTTAGCCTTCCTCCCTGCGGCCCTTGTAATGACTCAGCCAGCTGGAGCAGATATTTGCAGGAAGGAAAAGGGGGGGTGAGGAAAGCTTGAGCCCTTTATAATTCTGGAATATGAGTGGTTACCTCGTTTGGGCACTGGGAGGGCAGTGGTGGACTCACTCTGTAGTTAGCAAAGTTAGCTTGTGTCTACTTTTTGCTCCAGTGGCCTTGCCTTCTTTTTTTGGGGGGGGGGTCTGTCTCCTTCCTTCACCCACTCCCACCTTCTCTCTAACTTAATCCAACAAGTATTTAGTATGTGCAAGGCACTGGGCTACAAAGATGTGATGGAAAGCCATGCCTCCCTTCACAAAGCTCATCCTCTGGGCCATCCCTCAGAAATGCTCCACCCCTGTGCCCCAGACTCCCAGGTACAAAGCTTCCCATTCGTTTTTGCTGCTCAGGAAGGATGGCTTTAGCTTGGGGTTCAGGTTGATGCCACTTAGGGTGGTATGAATCTAGCATCCTGGGGCCCAGAGTCTCAGGGCTGAGGCAGGCCAGTCTTGAAGGGGGCTGTTGCCTCCACGTGCTTTCCCCCTTCTCACACCCCACCCTCTGTGGCCCTGGAGCGAGACAGGGAGAATCCTCCTCCTCCTTGATGTTCAGATGCTTGCCTCTGTATGAATAGGAGCGCCTCTGAAGTTGGGGAAAAGGCTTCAGAAAGCCAGGGTCCCCCCACCTGTGTAGAGGCTGGCACCGCACCTCCATGTGCGGCTCTGAAAGCTTGAGATGGGCCAGCTGTTGGTGAGAGCTTCAGGGAGGGCTCTGGGAACTGGGAGAAGATCTAGGGCTTTGGCTGTAGTTCATATTTATTTTTAAAATAGCACCAAGGGGGAGGGTATCCCTCTCTGTTTCTCCCCTTCTCTACTTCTTGCCTTCCCTCTTTCTCTCCCCCCTGGCTTCCATCTCCCCCTCTCCGTCCTTTCCACATCTCCCCTTCCCTTCCTTTTTTACTCTTCACTCTCCTGACTCCTCTGCTCATCTCTCCCTTCTCTTATTCTCTCCATTCTTCTCCCTTCTTTCTAAGGTCAAGAGCCAAGGTCATCTAGCCTTTTCTTTTAATCCTCTGGTAGTGGGGCTATTCCTGCTTCTCTTTCTCTTTGTCTCTCATTTTCTCCTCTCCCTTTCTGTTTCCTCCTATCCACCTCCTTTCTCTTCTGCACCCACCTCTTCCCTTCCTCCATGAATCCCCATCCCTTACCTCTCCTTTCATCCCTGTCTGATTTCCACATTCTTCTCTCCCTCTCCCTCCCTCCCTCCCTCCCTCCCCACTTTCTCTCCTTCCGTCTCCTTGCCCCTCTCTCTCCACTTTCTCTGCACCCCACCCCGGCCTTTCATGGTTTACTTCCTTGGTTCAACCCTTTTCTATCAGATGGGGAGCATTGTTTGTTCCCAGAGTACCGGATCTCCATGTGAAGGGCCGGGGCCAGCTGCTTACAGAAGTGCCAGTCTTGGCTGTGGGCGTTATTCAGCCTTGACAATGGATCTTTCCAGCCCTGTGACAGGCTCCCTAGCCTTCGTGCTCCGCAGCAGAACCAGCTTATGATCTCTTTCCTATCCTTAAATTCTAGGCCGGTAGCTATGGTAGTGTTTGGCTGTTAATATTTTCCAAGGCAGCCTGTTGATTGGAGTCTCCATGGCAAGGCCTGATTTGTATAAATGGATTGCCTCTCTACCTTCCCCATATTAAATACCACAGGGGTGTCTCTGGCATGGAGAGAACCCTTACTCCCCGATGACATGTCTAGAAGGGATGAATCTGTGAGGCTGTCTTGTCTCACCATTTACCCTGAGAGGTTCAAGGTTGGATGGAAGGCAGGCCCTCGGGAGAGAGAAGCAGAAAAGCAACCCCCACCTCTTGGGAATACGGGGTTTGGGAGTGGGCATGAGGCAAGATGAGAGAGCGGTAGTACTGGCAGGGAAATTGGGGCCAGCTCACTATGGAGGCACAGACGAGGCTGCCTAAGAAAATATAATAAATGAAAATTCTCAGCTAACTCAAGGGAACGTGTTTTCCATTTGCTGAGGTAGCCTGCTGAGAGAGAGACATTGAGAGAGAGATTC